GGAAAGAGCTTGAGGGTCGCGTCCCTGTCAGCTTTGGCTGTCTCCTCTTTGGCCGTAGAAAGCTGGCAATGTCTGAGGCTGGTTTGGATATCGAGACGCTTCGCAAGTTCGGTCTATGATCGGGGTGGACTGCTAAGCACACGTAGAATAATATCTGGAAGAGAATCGCTCCAGCCCATACCCCACACCAAACATAATACAATACCCGAGTAGTGCGGGGGAACAGACTAGAATCCTCGCCCTTGAGTAGGGAATCGCTTTGTCGCAAGGCAAATGCGACGAATATGAGTGCAATGGAAAGGATTCCACCAAGTAGGACGAATGCCAATCCATTCCACGATTTCCAGAATCGCCGTCCTCTTGCTGCATCCAGAGTAAACGAGACGAGTAGTAGGCCCAGGACAATAGAACTTATGGCCGTCAGCACCACGGCCATGTATGTAAGGAATGCGCAATTGGGGACTGCATTTTCAAGCGATGCAGCGAACGCCCCATTGACAATGGTTGATATCGCGGTGAATAGGATTGCCGACAAGCCTAGAGACAAGAGGACAAAAGGCCTCCCCATCTTCGGCCGCGCGCGTGGTGCTCGCGCAGTGGTCGACCCGCCACACTCCAATTGGTTAATATATGTAAATCTTGTAGAAAGAGGAACTCTGGGTCGTGGGTTCTTGCGGCTGAGAGGATAATTTCTGCATACTCCACCCGACTGGGACTGGGTATAGATAGAGATTGGGTCACGTCAAAATCTTACTCTTGACCATGGACGCGGTACAAAGCATATGTAAACAAAATTAAACAACAAAATATTAGATAGCGAAGGAACCCGGTGTTGCCAACAGCAGGACACGACCCTTGAACGCACAACAAGAACAAACGACTCGCGATGGGCAGTGGGAAATTAAACCATTCGAGCAAAAAGTAAAACACAATGCTGAAAGCTCGGAGGGAAGTAAATGGTTGTTTGTGCTGCCCTTGTCCATGGTGGGACAATAGAGTGTTTTAAAGCCGGCCAGCCCAACCCGCGTTGTTTTCCGCCGCCTTAGCGGGATTCAAGCGCTGCAGGAACATACAACAGGCTTCCAAGGCTTTGCGCGACCAGAACAGGGGAACTGGCCAGTGGAGACAATAATCTGGGGAGGGCGGGGCCCATCGATCAGGAAACATGGCGTCAAAAAAAGCCAACATGAATAACTCCCCCGCCGTTCCCAACATCCAACAAACATTGAATGATGCGCGTCATCCGAATTCGTTCGAGCTGTGCCGTGCGAACTGTTAACCAGGGGAACATTCTAGACGTGGGAACGAAACAAACTGGTTAGGTTTGGGGAAACATGGAACAGGCGCACTAATGGCAGACTGACATCCAGGAGCTGGCAACGCCTGGAGCCTGAAGCGTTATGCCTGGCGAATTCGTGGATGGAGATAGAGAGTGGGGGTTTCTCTATGTATTTTGGTATAACATGGCTTGCCGTCATCCATTTTCCTCATCCACCCTCCAACCTGCCCAAAACCAGGCAGGCTGTATCATCTTCGTGAAGTGTGAGGTTGGAGGTTCTTAGCATCGGCCTAGCTTAGCTGGGGTGGTGGAGCCAACCATCACATCAAAACCACACTATGTCTATTACTCGAGCCGCCCCAGGGCCCAGAGTGGGCCATGATTACATTGTGGATTATATCGGCCCTGTGTCAGGCAGAGCTGGATGGTGGGGATAGAGGTAAATGACGACATGACATCTACGGATACGATATTTTCGCCCTGCGACTCAAGGAGCCAGGACGACGCGACAGGGGCATCGAACCCATTTTAGCCCATCGGTTAGACCAGCATTCTCGAGTTTCCTCAATCAGGATCGTACCAATGTGTACCGATGTGGCAGACTCTCATCAGCACCAACGATGAGATTGACAGGGTCGCAAGGGAACCAACCAGCCTTGCACCAGGAAGCGATTCAGCCGCTACCAATTGGCTGCGAAAAAGAGTCCAAGCATACAAACTCCATCAATAATCTCCGCAAAGAGCAAAGGAGAATCATCACCCGAGTTCAATGCTTTTTTGACAAAAAAAAACTTGTGTTGAAGACCCCAACCAATAATCCATGCATAATGCACCCTCGCAGGCCATAAACGTCAACACCCTGTTGCGATCTTGAACCGAATGAAAAAAGAAACGAAAAAGCAAAGAAAAGAAAAGAAAAGAAAAGCCATAAAACGCCATAACCAGCCATAAACAACCAAAAACGGCAAAAAACAACGCGTCCCGCGTTTCTTCTAGAGTCGCCTGTGGCTTCGATCTCTCAGCAAAAAGAACCAAACCCCTTCATTAAAACTAGATGACACACGATACTCAGATATATACCCTCACTCACCCATCAGAGCATACTCTGTGCTTTAGACGAGTCAGAAATGTTGAATGTGATCCGCAGAGGCAGAAACTCCAGGCCCCGCTGAGAATTGTTGAGTGTGAGCCGGCTATCTCAGCCAATCTGGCAACTTTTGGGTTCCAGTTACTTGGTCTTTCGTTCTTATTTCTTGAAACTATAAGTTCGGGACTCCGTTTCTTTTCCATCGTTGCTAGAGCCTATATTGTCATCGTTTGCCTCTCTGAACAGAGAATGAGAATATACACTCTTACCCATCGTTTATGAGAGATCGTTTACTAGCTTGCTGACTGAGAAAAGAAACGAGTTTCATTAAAAGCTAACTATTGAAGAAAAGTAAAACAGCATTAATTTTACGGAGTGATCTACGGAGTATTTTATCAGCAAATGAAACAGAGCCATGAGAGGATCCGCTTTGAAACTCCAGACCCTTCTGAGTCGTGAAGGAGTGCACTATACTATGCTCTGTACGGAGTAATATATCTGCCTTTTATATTGAAGGATCCTGCCGCCGCCATAAACTATATTTATTGGTGCTGATGCTTGCGTCTCAGTCGGGATGGTCTGGCATTGGCTGGATTTTATTTCTCCGAAGAAAACGATCTATAGAGCAATCTAAATCTGCATATCTATTAAGATCAATGCGAGTTATTGATTACCCGGACCCGCTGCATAACCGTTAGTTATCCCGCTGGATGAGCCGGCGTCTACTATACTGTGGAACGAGGAAGTGCGCGCGGATACTTGTATATTGATTTTGGGCGAGGGAAGAAGATTTCCCCCCCGCTTGTCTGAAGAAGATAAACTAACTCATCAGTTCTGCTGGATATTGATAGTAATGCATTGGAGAAGAGAACGGAAAAGAATAGGATAGAGAGACTAGTTGTTGCTGGTCAGCCTGCTTGTCTCGGCATTAGATGAGTAAAAGAGACCCGCCTGCACCAAAATGCTCCTCGGATGCGGCGTTGATAGCTCAGTCTAGATTCTTTGAGCCTCGATCCTCAGCGCTGATTTACATAGATAGTATGTGCGTTGCTTCGGCTGGAGATCCCTTAGCATTTGCATTTGCATTTGCATATTCTTTTTCTTTTTCTTTTTCTTTTTCTTTTTCCTCTTTGCTTCCCTCTCTCTCCATCAATGATTACATTCCATTTTACAGCCTGAACTTGTAGTTCGGAAGGCCAGTATTGTTTACTTTTCAGCAACAAATATTTTCTATCACATTAGAATGAGGAACCCTTGTTTTTCTTTTTGAAAACAAACCTGATCGAGGAACTAGGATATTCGGAATCCGGCGATGTTGGGACCTCATCCTCTTCCTCAAGTAAGGTGCTGATCGAGGGCCTGGATGGCGAGGATCAGGTTGTCTCTCTATCTTACGCGGAGCATCAAACAGGCTCGGTTTGCTACTAGAACGTCCGCAAAGACTCGGTTCGTGATGATAATCGGTGTTCTATCTAACTCTAATCTTTAAAAGATATTCTTGTTTCCTATGCGAGGAACATATTGATATAACATGCATTGCAGTGGGCATTTAAGCTTCGTAATGATCTGGTGGTTTGTAAATAAGGATCTCCAGAGTTCTTCGTTATTCGAGCTTCAATAAGGTTTCTTTTTTTTTTTTTTTTTTTCCTTTCAAGTCAATCGATCGATGACACAAACATGAATGAATGCGTAACTAGGTAGCCAGTTGTGAGGGGAATAGAATATGCAAAAATTGCAAATATACAACAAAAATGCAATACAAAAAGCATTCAGAGTAAATGGGAAACGGAGAATACTCCGCTAAGCTATCCCTAACCCTCATGTGAGGTCGGGAGAGTGGGGGAAAAGTGAGTGATGTGGATTCTTTGCTAACCAAACAGGCTTCAATATCTTGCAAAGGATCTTCCTGCTAGAGCTACCCAGCTGTGAGCGATGGCAGTCGATGATATTGCGTTTGTCTTAGAAACAATTCTTTATGTTCGTACACAATTCCTACTCTGGTTCCTCCCAGCCAGGCACCGAAGTACTTCGAGACCCGGACGTCTGGCTTTCAAGGAATCATCGCCTCAAGCCTCAAAGGGGGTCTAGAATCCATACGTAGTGACTCTACTAGATGGCCCACGAATAATTATATAGACTCGAAAGATCATCGGAATATCATGAGCATGTCGGTTCTGTTGTATGCATCAATAAGAGCGGCTGGAAGAATGGGCAGTCGGTTTCAAGAGCTATCTGATCAAGATTCGGTAGTGGGCAGACACGAGTAGGCGGTTCAACGGGTAGGCAGCTCCAATGGCTGATGAGCAATCGATTGCGAAGTATCCTGCGTAAACAGGCACAGCGATTCTGAGGAACCATACGTGAGCCATGGAGGACATTTTCAAGTTGGGGAGAAGGAGATCTCCAGACTCAAGACACGGGATGGATGATCAACTAACCCAGACAAGCTAAGTCACCGGGAGCATGCTTAGCACTGCAGCCCAACGGAGAGTCCGCAACCGCTAGCGCGGCAGTCGGCTAGTGGCGAGGCTAGTGGGCACATCAAATGTTGATCATGAATCGACGATGGACCGCGTCGCCACCATCAATCGCAGATTTGCCCGACGCGGCAAAAAGCGGCTGTGAGCAATGAAAATGCCGCGGACTGCGGCTCACCGACTTCGAGTTATGCGTCAAGATGATGGTAAATTGGGTCATGGGGAGGTCGCATGCCGCATGTGGGTATGAGATGTGAATGTTGAACATTTGGGAATGCTGGATGTTTGATGTTCCGAGGTCAAACCAGCGCCCCCGATATGCTATACCAAGGTACCTGCGCCAACTCAAATGGATATCGACAATCTACTCGTTGCTGTGCCACCTCGGGCTGCGGATGCGCGTTCCAAAACTACAACTACAACCAGAACTAGAACGGTTGCCTTTCATTTCATTTTTGACCTTTTGTTTAGCCTTTCCACCCCGTGCTGGGTTCATGGTTTCTGGCGCTGTACAAACTCTTTTGTTCCAACCTACACCCTAAGAGGTGATATGTCCAAGGGCGCATAACTATTTTTGTATCTATTCCCTTTCTACAATCTGTACGCAGCTGCTCGCG